GTTTAGGGTTTAGGGATCTAGAGTTTCGGGGATTTCCTTGATGCATGGGTCTGAGGGTTTAGGGTCTTCGTTATCGTGGAGCTCAAATATAGTACCGTACAATCTCGCATGCTATAGTATGGTATCGCAGCCAATAGCTCCTTCACGAATGTGCTTGTTGCACACGTCCAGGTTGGCGAACCTGAAGCAGGTTGGCCAAGCCCTAAACTCTGCAACCACAAATCGAGAACTTGTTCTAGATCTCTGTGCTTTGTCTCACCACGAACACGACTGATATCATGATCACGAACTTTATGGTTCTTTTGACTGCTTCGCTGTCAAAGTGCTGGTGACGTAGTGCTGGTAGCCTCTCCTGTTGCAAGCTTTGGAAATTATCGCTCTCGTTCTTTTTGTCAAGGGTGCACCCTCAACCCTAAACCCTAGGCCCTAAACCCTCAACCCTGAACCCTAAGCCCTAAGCCCTAAAGCCTAAACCCTAAACCCCTATTCCCTATACCCCAGCGTTTTGGTTTCCTTGTCTGGCAGGGCCAAGCGGCCAGCGCAGCAGCGCTTTCTCCACGGCTCGGCGGTCTGAGGAGCTGAAGCAGTCAGCCTCCTGCAGAGTCATGGTCAAAAAGCAAAAGTAGGGCTTAGGGTTTAGGGCTTATGACCCAAGCCCGTGACAACTTACACGTGAAGTGAAACGTGAAGGCGGTGCTTCCGGACTTCGCATGAGCAATTGCAATGCCAGCCCAAAATGCTTGTGGAAAGCAAGCTATTTCGCTTGCAGTACCCTGAACCCTAAACCCTAAACCCTAAAACTATTTCGCTTGCAGTACGGATCCGTCGCAAGGGGCATACGCTGGGCTTCTGCTACAACCCAGCTAAAAACACCTGATGTACCAGGTCGCGAAAGAAGGACTCCGGAGACACCCGAATTAAGACAATAGGAAAATTGCGGGCCCTCAGTTCCTCAGGGTTTAGGGTTTAGGGGTTTAGGGTTTAGTGTTTAGGATTATAGACCCCTTTGTCTGAAGAGCGCCTTGTAGATCAGAGTTTCAGATTTACGGGACCCTGTCATAGACGCTGGCAGCTAGCAGTGTGCCCATGACCAAAAACCCTCAAATAAGATACACCCCTAAACCCTAAACCCCAAACCCCTAAACCCCTAAACCCTAAACCCCTAAACCCCTAACCCTCACTATAAGCAAAAAGCTTATTTCAAAAGGAATCTCGGGTCCCAGGACCTGCACAGCGAATGACCGCAGTTGCATCTCCAGGGCCTGCCAGCTGGACTTGAAGCTGAAGGTTGCTGGGTTTACTCTTTGGGATTTTAGTGGTGGTATAATGAAACAAATTCGGTAATAGTTCAGATAATGTCAATAGTAACAACAAGAATAACAGTAGCAAGAGTGTTGGTTCAACACCATACTAGCATCACTTTTGGGTTTGAGGCTTTGGGTCGAAGGCATATCTTGGACTCGATGATTTCGGCCGGAAGCTACACCAAGGTGCTGTAGGCTGCGGAGTTTCTAGGAGTCAACGCAAGTTCGGAAGTGTCCATTTAGGGACAAAGACATGTTTGCATTGCTGTGTGGGGTCGTGCCGGTATCCAAATAGTTGTTTGTTGTAACTATTGGCTTGCCTTCTGATTCTGCAGTTTGTGTTGACAAGTAAATGGTAGCCGTGATCTAGTCAAGAAGCACTTAAGTCTTTGGCCATCGGCCGTGGACT